CCAGACGAGTCCGCGATCAGTTGGATCACACTAAACTAATATTTTTTCCAACAACATTGTTAGCTAGTCAATTAAAAATTCGGTACCATTAATTTTTAGATACTTGCTAGGTTTATGTTGTAAACAATGTGAGTTCGTTGAAGAGATTATAAAAAGGAATGGATGCTAGTTTTGTGTATAATTATTTGCTGGTCTAAAATATATAAAAAATTATGGAATTACATTACAACAAAAAGGTGAATTATAATTTTCTAACTGTTAAATCCAACGTAAAAACGGTGAAAATTAGGATAAAAAATTATGATTTTGCTGGTGGTGATTTAGATGCTACGGTGAAGAGACTTGAGATCCAGCCTATATGAGCAACGATAGTTGTATTTCAAAGTATGGGGTCTTCTCTCACTCATCGTTTTGATGCATCGATAATGGTCATAGGTCAATGATGTTAGGCATTGCGATCCGAGGTTTCGTATCAACATGTCGGGCCTAAGACAATTTACAAAAACTATAATAGTTGTATGTGATTTCGATTCGAAAAATGGTTCTTTTACCATCTATCATTTCATATGAATTAGTAATAAATGTTGGCATGTTGTTCTATATTACAAGCTAGAACATTAATTGATCTCAAGAATGGGTGTTACATATATTAAAATGAGTTAAAAACCAATTTTCGGAGTTAGTGGAAGATTGATGGAACTAATGTTTCGCATGAAATTTTGTAGGTGAAGGAATGTAGACAGAATAAAGTGTGAAGAAAATTTTATTTTGTTTTTTTGCCACCAAAATTTGATAAAGCTTTGGTGGATATCCCGAAAACATTCATGTTCTTTGATTGTTAAATTGAATTTAACTCATAATCCCTCTGTATCAAATTACTTAATGTTGTAAGGATGTTTCACTCAAATTAAGAAACCATATAAATAGTGTAGTTTTGTGTGCTTTTACATTAATCAATGATTTTTACATTTAATAAAATTAGTTTAACCATTCACAAAAAATATTGCAGAATTCTAATCTCATGAAAAAAAATAAAAAGTAATAATTTTTTTTATTGAAAAATGAAAACATCAACTAATTTAATACAAAAATAATTCTCTAAAACATCAAGAAACATGATATGGAGGGAATAGTTTAAATCACAATCTTATTCTTGTTGTACAAATCTTGCCCACATAACGAAAAAAGAAACTTAACTTTATACAACAGTCATATGTTGGATCTACGTGGCAACTGATTTAGTCAGCTGTTGGTTAAAAACCAAATCTCTGGATCAAGCTTTTGTGACGCTATATCGCCACAACAATCGATCCATGAGAACAAATTTCGTTGATAACAAAACCTAGTTAAAAAAAAGTAGCATTCGCTTTGGATCTCATGTGGAAAGGGCTTTGCAATTCATGAAAGATTATGTGGTTCCACAAGAAGACGAAGATGATGAGAAGGATTTCTGCTGTGTAGAGAAGAAGGAATTCAAATACAAAGCTAACAAGTACGACAACCTAGATTGGGATACATGCTCGGGTTTGAATATAAAAAGGCTAATTCAAATGCTCAGCAATCATTCTGTTGGTGCAGACCTCCAAATTTTTACACCAGATTTCAGTGATCTTAAGCCGGGCGAAATCTACTATGGTCCCCAAACTGAGGTATCTACTTTGGTCAATTTGCATGTGGTGATTATTGTGGCGGTGATTAGGTACAAAGGAAAGCTTGTGGCAAAGTGTAAATCAAGCTACGGAACAAAGTGCAACGACGCCGGATACATATATGTAAGTTTGACCACCATGCTTTATGTTTCCAATGATCGTAATCCGAGCTCTCTGTTTACTCGGTTAGTAGTTCTAAAGTAGATTTTAGGCGTATTTGATCATCTGAAGAGTTTGTAAGATCAAATCCTTAAACACGATAAATGTTACGAAAATAAATGCTACGGTTAAAAAATAATCGGAATCATTGTTGGATCTCTGGCTAATAAACAGTGAGTTACATTTTTCTTTAAAGCTTCATGTATGTGTGAATCAGATGAGAATTTTCTGTTCTCATTATGGTTAAAGAATCATGTTTGATTTGAGAATGCCTTATTATGTGACTGGATGAGTTCTCATCATGCAATGCAACTATTCTTCTTCCTGTTTTATATAGTTTCGGTCCCAAACAAAAGAGCATGTATTACTGTCTAGTGTACTGATTAATTTACTTACACTTGTAGTCTACAAGTTGTAGATGAAATAGTTTAGAATATATCTAAAGTTTAAAGGAAAGAACCGACTTAACTGCTGTATGCAAAAATTGTTGGCTATAGATTCCTGTTTTAAAGGAATGTTTTCCAATATTAGTTTAATACGATGGAATAATGAATTTTTTTTAAGAAAGGTTTTGAGGATCTTTGTTATACACAATTTTTTATTTGGTTATTTGCATAGTAAGTTGCTCTTGAACTAAAACCAACATCACCCGAGTTCCTATGACTTAACTGTATTCTTGTCTAGCAAGTGTTTAGTTTCAAATTGATTTGTTTGAGAGAAATGAAAACATTGATGGTTTGGGTGGTGTGTGCAAAACATGTAAAACTTGTTTTGGTGTTCATTAAGCTTTCTTAAAATTCAATTCTAGGCTCATTTTATCATCCTATGTGTTGTTTTTTTTTTTTGATCTGTTCATCCTATGTGTTGTTTAGCAACCGATTAAGTAAGACATTCAAATTTACTTGTGAAGATCCAATATATCCTCTAAACTCTTCTCTCACAACTTTTAGTATTTCCTGGCTCCTCCCTTTAATTATCAATCCTCTTCATCTTTCCTTTTTCACCATTGTATTCTGTTTTATACTATTATATGACTTGAAAAGATTGGACAAACATTATTTCTGTATTTTTATGAACTATTCAACAAAACATAATTGAATGAAACCGGTTATAAACTAGACCGAATATGAACATGGAAAACCTCGCAAAACCGGTTATAAACTAGACCGAAGTATGAACAGCTTGGGGAGACTACCGACCGGGCCACAAGAAGGCCAAATTTAGGATTCAGATTTTGGTTAAGAGCGGTCTTGGATCAGTGAAACAAACGCCTCGGACCATTTCTGTTTAACCGAACTGGAGACATCCGATCCGCTCATGTTTGCAGTAAACATATTCCCGTCTGGACCGGTAAGGACCCACTTCACTTTCTCTGGTGGGTTTTGGTCAATAACCTCGGTCTGAATTCCGGTAAGCTGAAACATGCGTTAAGTAAGAAACCATTGTCAAATCGGCATAGAACCGGTTCACCCAAAAACCAAATCAAATCCAGAGGTTTCATCTCCTACTCCTAAATGATGAAACTTGACTCTAATCTTCATTTATCTGTAAGCTTAGAAACTTACAGAAAGCCGCTCAGAACGCTCCATGGAAATAGAGTCAAGTGTACTGTTCCCGGTTGCTTGTAAGTATCTCTCAACAGCAGCCATGGAACGGAATTTATTCCCCGTTCCTGGCTCAATGTAAGTCTGCAAACCACACCAAAGTATTAATAGTTTGGAAAACTCGGACATTAAACACAGCCAGAGGTGTGTACCCTGTCTATATGAGTGGAATTTCTCCGCGGTTTCTTCTCAACGATCCATCCAGCAGGTAAATTGAAATCTTTGGAGTTGACACGATGATACTGTAAAAGCATAAGCGGCTGTTGATCTGTATGGTTCCCGGATTCGTTCAAGTATCTCTCAACTGAAACAAGGGAACGGAACCGCTTTCCTGTTCTTCTCTCAACATAATACTGCAAAGAACAATATTAACGGGTTAAGTGCATATCGCGCAGAAAGAAAAAGCTACTAATATTAGCCAAATCAGTAAACTCCTCTTTATTCATCCGTCTAGTTAACAAGAAATTCTCAACTCTCGACTCTAAAACCACCAAATTATCGCAGATATCCTTATCATATTCTTCCCTTCTCTGTTTAACCCCTTTCACACCACCCGAACTAGTTTGTAAGTCAAGTGAATCAGCAACTTATTCAGAGGGACTACATTAGCAATAGAAGAGACCCAAAAGACCTAACTAACATAGGTAACTTGGTGATTCTTCTCTATTCTACACTCATAAGCTCTACATAAAGTACCTTATCAACATGATAAGAGTTTCTCCTCGGATACTCCTCAACGGTCCATCCTTTAGGCAAACGGAAACTCTTGGAGGCATATTCGACACTGCGATGATTCTGCAAAAGCATAACACACTGATTAAGTTTTGTGCAATTTCAAATATAGTTCAAGAGACCTCTTTGGTTCTGTGATGATTGTGCAATTTTCAAATCTTAGATTAGGAGACCTGTTTGGTTGTGGATCTCTCATAAACCGAGGAGACCTGTTTGGTTCTGGATCCTTCATAAACCCTTGTCCTATCATTGAAGAAGGCTCCTGCTCGAGTCAAGCGTCTGTCATCTACTTCCCCAGTCAAGTGTCTTTGAACAGATTCTAGAGATGGAAACTGTCTACCAGTCCCTGGCTCGATAAAGTACTTACCCACATAGAAAACAAGAAGAAAAAATATAAGATTTTTCAGAATATTAACTCTAAGCTTTGTCTTCAATGCAAGCATAAACCCAAGAAACCATATGCAGAGAAACAAAAAAGAGCAATGTGACACAAAATCACTAATTTGATCCTAATCAAACAATCGAAATCTCGAACTAGAGCATATACCGTATATACACTGCCGTTGCTGGTAGGAGACGATGATCGAGACTTATTCACGACGGACCAACCCGGCGGAAGCTTGCCTCGAAACGAAGTGGGGTCCACGATCTGCAGCTGAGCTTCGTGACGGTGGCTTGCCGGAAACTGGACTCCGAGAGGGACCAGTTCAGCCGAGGCTGAGGATGAAGATCTCGTCTGCATCGCTTCGTTTCCGGGTAACCCAAAAACCCGACTCAGGTTTAGTGGGTTTTCAGGTTTAGTAGACTAGAGGTACCCTTCTCACTCACTGGACACGCAAAAAGCACCATCCAATCCAAGCTCCACTTGGCAATATAAAGTTTGCAACTTTGC